ATTCCGTCGTCATGGGCATTGGTAGGTTTTGGTACTCTGGTTCGGCTGGACGACCGCATGCTGACCTGTGTGTGTAGCGCTGCCCTTTGTGCTCGCCCACGCCGGCCTCATCCAGACGGGCGCCCTCGTCATGTCCATCGTCGGTGGTCTGCTGATCTACGGCACCATCATCAGCTTTGGCATGTTCTTCCAGGAGGAGCAGGAGTTTTAGGTCCGAGGGACGCAGAAATGCGACGTGGAGACGACGCGGAGACGACGCGGTGACGACGCGGAGACGACGCGGAACGGCGACGCGCACACGAGGATGACGAGGATTTCACGAGGGCCTACGGGTCTGTATTAGTACATGGGCGCACCTGGGCCGGACTTGGCAGGCTGGGAGCGGGTCAGAGACGGAGACTGAGGAGACCATGATGAACATGCAAACAGTAAGTATATGTAGGACCAAGGCCCATCTAGCATGGGGTCGAATCACCAAGATGCAAGCTTCACCCTGAGATCCTGAGATCCTGAAATTCTGAGATGTCTAAATAATCCCGTGCCGATACGTTGAGTATCCCAAACGCCAGCCCATGCACCTCTATCCGTGTTGAGTCTCGCCAGCCCAACTCCCCCTATACTGCCAATCTATTCCAGCCGTCTACTCCAGCTGTCTACTCCGGCCGTCTACTCCGGCCGTCTCCTCCAGCCGTCTCCTCCAGACGTCTACTCCAGACGTCTACTCCAGCCGTCTACTGCCAGCTACTGTCAGCTACTGCGAAAACACGCCCAGCGGCCCCGCCAGCTTGGTGAACATCTCCTCCGTCTCGCCCTCGGGCGTGCTGAGGATCGTCACAGCGCCGCCGGCGCCAATGTGCCAGACGTCGCCCTCCTCGCGGCCCTCCTCGTCGTCCCACCGCCACATGGTCCGGATGGTGACGCTCCAGTCGCCGCGGCCCGTAACGTCCATGTACCCGATGACGCCCGAGTACAGGCCCCTCTCGCCACGCCCCTCGAGCTCGGCGAGCAGCTCGCAGCTCCTCTTCTTCGGCGCGCCCGTCATGCTCCCCGGCGGCAGGCTCGCCGCCAGCACGTCGAGGCCCGTGTGGGGGGCCTGTGCCTCTGCCTCTGCCTCTGCCTCTGCCTCTGCCTCTGCATCTGCCTCTGCTTCTGCCTCCTGCCTCCTGCCTCTGCCTTGGGCCCTGGGCCTTCTGGCTTCTGCCTTCTGCCTTCTTGCCTCTGCCTTCTGCCTTCTGCCTTCTGCCTTCTGGCTTCTGCCTCTGCCTTCAGCCTTCTGGCCTCTGGCCTCCTGCCATCTGCCTTCTGC